TTTCCAGATTTTCTCCTGAATTTATCTGTCCCCGTTGGGTGTGAATGAGATAGTGTGCAACTGATTTGAAACCTAGTTGCGATATCTGGAAGACAAAATAAATCTTAGCTCCAATAAACGCCAGGGGACAAAAGAGAGAAATAAAAATAAATAAATGTGCCATGGTTTTGAAAGGAACCTTCTTGTAGAGGATGCCAGTAGGAGGCCACCCTTTTTTCGTCCGACAAAAACTACAGTTGCAGATTCCACGGCAGACAGGGCAAATCCAATCTGGATTCTGATTGGCTTCAATTACATGTTCCCCATATCTGCTCCCAATAGATAAATATGAACATTGGATTAACACTTTAGTACATATGCGTCAACCACTACAAAAGGAGGTTAGGTAGCCTTCTTACGAAGCATAAAGGATAATTCATACAAGCCAACCGTGTACAACATATGTGAGGCAAACCTTACGAGACGTGTGAAGTTCAACTGACGAAATTTTGTTAACCAGCCACTATTTTCCTTTCCTTTTGGGGCTTTGAGAGGAATGACCAAGCAATATATTAATCACCAAAACTAGAACATTTAAAATTTACCTTCATTGGAATTCGACAGTCTGCAATCGCAGTATTATAAGGAACTTCTCTATGTATAGTTGACAAAATTAAAAATTTTCTATAATTCAATCATGCCACTACAGCCTAAGCTCCACCCAGCTTGTTCCATTCCCATAAAATGCAAGGAAATTGATATAACGTTTGTAAGACAAGCACCGCTGAGGTCAGCATGTCACAATTCACACAGAAGGAAAAAAATGGAGTCTACATATCAACTTCAAATTAGGGACAGCATAAGAGGGAAACCGGTTGTCAAAATAAGCAGGTTGTAAAGTTTGACAATCAAAGCAAGTGCCCCAGAGGAGCATTCTAGGAGTCTACGGTTATTAACCGCTTTGCAACATCACAAACAATCTGCCTAATGTTTACAACGCAGTGGTATCAAACTGAGAGAGTGATAGTAGATGGTATGGCAGAGAAGACACTTTTAAGACTATACAGTTTACCTCATGTACAAACAATCGCCACAAAACTGTCCTTGGATCCTGTTGCATTGGTTACATTGAGTATGATGACCCAGAGTTTTCTGCCTGTTAAAAAAAGAAATTCAATCCGTGCAAATATATTAAGCCAAGGGGCACTAATCCAGAAAGAACTATATGACAACACTTTCCAAGACACAACATATAGCAAAAAATGATACCGAAATTGTTGAGGATGGACGGCGTTCATTAGTACTGTCACTATAATATTCCATATTCATAAAACCTTGTCATCGACTCTAATTAATCATCTTTTATATATCCAAAAGACTTATTTCCCTCTCTCTATTTATTTTGTCCTAAGGTTATCATTTTCTCCGACTTTAAAGGGCATTCAATTTTACACAAGGCTAAATTTTGGAAGCAAAGGGTATACCTGCATTGATGGCAAGTCTTTCCTCTAACCGGGTCATAAATCCGTTTTCCATCTTTTCCATAACCATCCACAAACAGAGTCCAGGTCTTATCAGTGTTGCCTAACAGCTTCTCATGCTCCTCCGTGTAAATCTCCGGCCTTTCACCCTCCTCCAGCATAATACCCTTCATGTACGAAGCTTCATCCTTCTTCGACACATGCACCTCCGCGTAGCTCACTGGTGTAGCATTCTTCAATCTAAACCCATAAACCAAATCACAGAGAAAGCAAAACAAATTACCTCCAGTAAAAGTTTGGAGCAAAAGCAACTGACCACACTCTCCAAAATCAAGTACTAAAAAGCATTCACAATCAGAAACAGCTTCAAACCCACCAGAATCACAAGCCCGATCGATTAAAGATTCATTTTTTAAAGCAAAAATGTGTGTAATTTGTTATAATTTGAAAACCCATCAAACATTCAAAGCCAGAAACAGTCTAAAATACACCATATTCAGTGACCATTTGTTTAAATGTTCTAATTTCTAAGGACAAACGTTAATAATCCAAGAAATTAACAGAGGGGGTATGGAAATATTACCTAGAAGAACGTCGAGTGGGTCCTAGCGTCCGAATGGAAGGGGGCCCAGACGGCGTCGTACAGCGGTTGGAGTAGCTCTTTGCTGTTGATCTCTTCGAGTGAATGTCTGATTTGAGCTGAAGAGAGATGTCAACGATGCCGAGCTTTTGCATTCTTTCGCGGTTTTCTCTGATTCGATCTTCTCTGGACTGCTCGTACAAAGACTTGGGGGTTTGGAGGTGCTCATTGTTGCTTCTAGGGTTAGGGTTTGCTGAGGATTCCAGGGCAACGGTCTTCTTTCCCAGAGTTGGCATTGTGAACTCTGTCTCTCTCTCTCTCTCGGAATCTGACGAGTCTCTGTGGGTGTGGGTATGGGTGATTTGAATTTATATCTCTCTCTTGGACTCTAAGTGGCAGTGGGTAATTTGAATCCTGCGCTTCCAACGGTCGAATTTTGAGCCCGAATTGTGGATTTTCCCTGATTTGCAACAAGGGAGAGAGACTCGGGGGACGCAACTTTTCAATTTCCATTTGAGGGGGGAAGCCCGGGATTTATATTTTTCTATTTCCATTATTTTGCACGTGAAATCTCACCTTCTTTACTGGTTAATGGGGATTATATGACTAATTTGATTATCTTTTTGTTTTCAAATTTCATTCTTAATTTTTAATATTTAATGTTATTTAAAACTTGAATTGGTTACCAAAAAATGAAAATCGGTTAGTAATAAGTTTTAGATAACTAATTAAGTTTTGTTACTAGACTTGATTTCTCGACTCTTATTACCGGTCGATGACCTAATTCGAGCTTCATTCGTCGTAATGCTATAAACTCTTTGTAACATGCACTTTTGTCATTTTACCTTAATTCATATTTTGACTCCAAGAGAAGTTTCATTTCCAAGTTTAATACCAAACAATAATATTTTTTTTCATTTGAAAGCTAAATAGTTACCAAACAAGTTTTCCATTTTCATATTTTTTAATGATAAAAATTGAAAATTGAAAACTAAAGCGTTTATCAATCCGGTCCTTACATTTTTCATTTCCCATCTACATTTGGTTTGATTTGTACCTAAATGAGGAATTGATGCTTTTATCTGAAAAGTCATCGTGTACTTCTTTCTTTTATTTTTCTTTTTTGGTGAGCTCTCTTTTATTTTTCTAGCACTAATAAGGAGCGTATAATGACCTTTTAGAGTCCAAATAGCAACTTTTGAAAAAATTAATAAATCCACAATTTAATGTGCTCACTTGAACATGTAACATCTAACAACTGTTGAATCTTAGATTCTGAAACCACGGGAATCCCTTGGTAACATGGATGGATCTCGATTCTCGAATCTTGGATTCAAGGTCTTAAAGTTTCAACTATGAGGTTTAAGTTCCTGATCGCATCGCATGCCAATATATGGTTGCTTGCTACCATATCATGCAGATCATGAGTTCTCGAGCACTACTCTTTACTTGGCTTTCTTAATAGGCTAAGATAAATCCTACACACGCACTTTATTGAGCTACTCGTCATGTTAATTAATGATTTTATTTCATTGTACATATCACCTAATATATTATGTTGTATTAACAAGTTTTTTTTTTTTTAACAAACAATATTATCTATGCTAAGGGAGAGGAAGTGAGCTTAGCCTCATAATGGATTAGCAATAATTTGATTCAAATTCGTCTTTGGCGAGAACCGAATTTAAAGTCTCTCACTTACAAGTGATCAGGAATATTATTAGACCGTAGTACTAAACGGCATATTAACAAGATTTTTGTTATTTTAAATAAAAATTAAGAGCATTTCCAATGCGATGACTCAAATTTGAGTCCAAATAGAAGGCAAGGTATCTTTAATGCACATGAGACTTAAAATTATTTATGGGTTTTAAGGAAAATAGAGACCCATATTTTGGTTACAATATTAGATTTTGAGTTCAAGATTTTCTCCTCTAACGCAAACACTCAAAACTCAAAATAAATCTTACATTTGAGTCTCTGCATTAAAAAATAAAAATAAAAATAAAGATAAAAATAAAATCCACCATCTTTTCGGGACAAAAGGCCCTAAGAGATGGAGGGTAAATTCAGATTAAAATTTTTGTTTTGGTATTGGCAGCTTTTTGTTTTCGTTTTTCATTTGGGCTTTTGTTAAGTGCCGCTGAGTTTCCTTGGGCAATTACTTTTCTGACGCAAAAATAAAAGAAGGTTCAATTTTGTTCTCGAAATTAGAAATGTTGTCAATTGTCAGCCATCTCTCCCAAATTTTATTGGACAGAACACTATCGTGAACAACTTGGACAGAACACTATCGAAACAACTTCTATATAATTACGTAGTGGGAGTATTTTTGTTCATCGCAATAAACTTTGGTATATGTTTATTATACATTAAATTATTTGTCATGTGTTATTTCATTTAATTTTGATTAATTTTTTTCAAAATTAAAAAAGTAATATTTAATGTAAAAATTAACTAAAGTTAGTTGAAAGAACACATGACATGACAGATAATTAAATGTATGATTACTAAAGGTGAGTGATGATAGAGGTAGGTTTGGGTTCTTTTTTTCTTGGGTCTAAATTTTCCAATATATAGATTAATCAAATCTGGTTTACAGTCTGACATAGTGACTCAGTGCATGCGGATGGATAATTAAATCTATAAATTAAATTAAATAGCAATAATAGTTCAGCTCCTACCAAACAAAACCTATAAAATGCTCGCCTGTGACGTGAGTGAGTCATCATTTGCATGGCTGCAGAAGCAACCCAAAAAGTTCTGAACACGTTGAGAAAATCCCACCAATGTTGATCAACTACCCTCATCAAAATACGTGTTCATAGACTGGCAGGACTTTATCTTTTAAAAAAAGGTCACACCAAATGCAGCAGCGGCTGGAAGATTAAAACAATCTAAATCTTACAAGTTTTCACAAATGGCTTCCTTTAGCTTCTCTCGTGAACAAGAAGCTGCTGCATATATACATAGTTTTTAGAACTTTTGTTTTCATATCATCAACTCTGTGAAACTGCATGGCCATGGGGTATAATTCTTGCACTGCGGCCTGCGTAGGGTTTGTTCTTTTGCTCGTTTTTAATCAGAGTTATTTGGGAAATGCTGCTGATCAAGGTCAAGGGTTAGGAGCTTCTTTTATTTTTGGCGATTCTCTGGTTGATGCTGGAAACAATAATTATTTACCAACGTTGTCCAAGGCGAATATGGTTCCAAACGGGATCGATTTTAAAGCATCTGGAGGAAAACCTACCGGAAGGTTTACCAATGGTAGAACCATTGGTGATATAGTTGGTAATAACTTCTTCCCCAATATAATCCAGTCTTGCGTGCGTACCAGAAAAATTTACATATCTGATGTTGTATACTCTTCTGTTTCTATCTTGTTCATCGCAAGAGAAAAAAGGGGTGTATAACATGATGTATTATTTTTGATCGACTGTAGAGGATGATATAAACTTGAGATACTAAGCAATCACTTACTGGAAAAGGAAGTGATCGAGCGATGACATTTTCCAACGTTGTGAAATAGTTTTTAACTTTGGGTGTGTTATTTTGTTTATGTAGGAGAAGAATTGGGGCAACCAAACTATGCACTCCCATATTTGTCACCAAATGCCACAGGAAAAGCCCTATTGGTTGGGGTGAATTATGCATCAGGAGGGGCAGGGATTTTGAATGCAACAGGAAGAATATTTGTAATTAGCTAGCTCACATTCCTCTGTAGATTTGCTTTTTTTTTTATGTTTAATCATATGTACTTACTTAACAGATGTTTTATCAAAAATACAAACGATTTATTCATAAATCTTTGCAGATTAATAGGGTGGGAATGGATATCCAAGTCGATTTTTTCAACCAGACAAGGAGGCAGATTGACAAGGTATTGGGCCCATCACAGGCAAAAGAGTACATTATGAAAAGATCCATTTTTTCAATCACAGTTGGGGCCAATGACTTTTTGAACAATTATCTCCTACCAGTACTCTCCATTGGAACAAGAATTTCTCAGAGCCCAGATGCTTTTATTGATGATATGATCTCTCACTTCAGAGTCCAACTTACTGTACGTATATATAGTTATATTTAAAGTTATATTTTATTTTTTATCTTTTATTTTACAGGATATTCTAACCTACTATAATTTACTGGAAGGGATATTCGAATCTGGTGTAAACAGGCAGTCACACTTTTGTTACCTAACCTGCATCTGTGCATGCATATTTAAGTTAATCCACTACTATTTTTCTTGATTAATTGGGTTCTTAATCACGGTTATTGACCAATTGCTTTGTGCAGAGACTTTATCAATTGGATGCTCGAAAATTTGTGATTGCAAGTATTGGGCCTATTGGCTGCATACCATACCAAAAGACCATAAATCAACTGAATCCAGACCAGTGTGTGGAGTTGCCAAATAAGCTAGCTCTTCAGTACAATGGCCGGTTGAAGGGCTTGCTTGCTGAACTGAATGAGAACCTTCCAGGTTCAACATTTGTTTATGCAAACGTGTATGATCTAGTGATGGACGTCATTACGAATTATGGAAAATATGGTAAGCCCAAATTACTATTATCGCGTACATATACATATATAATCTTTAGTATGCCGAGAAGAAAATCAAAACTAATTTCAAATGTAGTATTTTAATCAATAACTTCCATGAAAATGTTTTATTGTTAGACTGAGTCTTCACCAGCACATATGGTTGACATGATATGATATCCCGAAGCTCCGGGTATTTTATACATCAAGGTTTTTGACTAATCAAAGATCTAATGACCAAGACGTATCAGCTAAAAATCCATGTATATAAGATATCCCGAAGCTTAGTAGAATTTTTGCCCTACCATTTAGCTATATAATTGTCATGCATTAATATTCACCTGCAGGATCATTCTGCAGACTTTTGCATCAGAGGGCCTGAACTTGATATTAATGTTTGAAGAACTGCAGGAATATAAATCTTGGTTTCTTTGATATTAGTTGAAACGCTATACAAGAATAAGAAATTTTTCATTGTGACCGGAATACGAATGGTATACTACATGTTTCTATATATAAGTGGTGGGAAATTTTATTTTTTTAAATTATTAACTTTTTAACACACATATCCTATCATTTGTATAGTAACACGTGATGTATCATCCCGTGTACCAGTCACACTAAAAAAATTTCTCACAACAATAAAGGGACATTAATAGCCTGCTGTTCGTTTAATTAATTGATAAATAATGTCTTAATATCATGATGGAGCATTGATCCCTGAAATTTGATCCAATTGGAGCTTCAGTTTCCTAAACTATTAATTCGTGGGTATTGGCATGTGTCACAATGTGAAGCATGGCCATTTTGAGTAACCAACTCCGTTAGAACTTCTGCCAATGCTTCAATTTTCTCTAATATTAATGATATCATTAGATGATGTTTGGTGAAAGTTGATTAATTTGATGGATATATGCAGGATTTACAACAGCAAGTGTAGCATGCTGTGGAAATGGTGGCCAATACGCAGGTATAATTCCATGTGGCCCACAATCCAGTCTCTGCAATGATCGGTTGATGCATCTTTTCTGGGATCCCTACCATCCAAGTGATGCTGCCAACCTTATACTCGCCAAAAAATTGCTCGATGGAGACACAAAAATAATTTATCCAATGAATCTCAGACAACTTCGAGACCATGGATTGGGGTAACTTAATGTAATGGTGGGATATGAATGTACTACTATATCGTGCATGCATGCCTTTATTTTGTTAACTGGTGTAACAAATGCTAGCACTTTTTCAAATAATATTAAGCTATATTTTGTTCGGAAGATTTGGATGCATTTTTATTTAATTTTGGTTAGATGAACTCTAAACACACAAGTAATTGCGTTTGTATGGGAGTAAAGAACAATGTAGGTAACCCTTGAGAGTTGATAATTATTCAAATGGTGAGAGAAGACTGACAATTCGTTAGAAGACATAACGGATTCAGAGTTCGATATGTCTTCCAATGTAACAAAGAAAATAACAAGATCATGGAAATATTATTTGGTTCTCCAACCAAATATTCTTTGCAACCAAATCACTTAGAACTTACTTTTGAATCTTGTGGTGTGAAATTATACATTCCACGTCCATCTCTTTCAACCAATTCAAGCTTACATTGAAATCTAAATCCTTACGTTCACAATCTTGTATAGATGCATGATTCTCTCTCTTTTTTTCCCTTGGTTTGGAAGACGTTTTTCAAGAGGTTGGAAGATTTGTCTCACCAAGCGCCATCCAGCATGTTTGAATAAGAATAATTTATGTTTGTGTACGGCAGATACAGGTATCATACATAAGGTTTATTTTATGACAATGTGCACCATTACCAGTTTACCACCCACAGAATTTAACATGCAGCTTTCTTTTTTTTTTATTAGAAGGATATTAGAGGAGAGGAAGTTGAACAAAGAATCTTGAGTACATTTAAATGCTCCTATGCACTTGAGTCTATTATACTAAAATTTGTAACCGATGACAGTATCCGTTTACGCTGTAATGAGTTCAATTCTTAATTAAACCGATAAGCTTAAAAAAGGAATATGGTGGTTTTTTTTTAAGTCGGCAATATGGTGTTTATTATCTAGACAATGTGAATTAACACAAATGGTTAACTTGCAAGTCTCAAACCAATATACAAAACATAAAAACATATTTACCCTATATATATGACAAAAAGAAGTTAAAAGAGTGTTTAAACTCACGGGTACACCATGGTAGGATATTAAACAACGAATACGAGATAAACTATAAATCAAATGTAGCAAAGTTTAACTTTTAAATACATAAAATATTTGATCGAATTCATTTGATACGGGTGATTTGTACCTAATTATCTTTGCATATATTAATTTTGTGTTGTCATGAATTTTTTGTACCCAAGAAGCAAGATATTCTAGTTGAAAAAAATTGAAGAACATGGTTTTGTATCCGACCAAGAAAGAAGACGAATAGAACTAGAAGTTGTCATAGACGTGAGCATTTTTCTCAATGTGGGCACACCCAAGTGTGATCATTGATACATGTGAGAGAGGGAATCATGTCCACAACAGAAAAAGCCAAATACAAAAGAGTGAGACGGAGAGAGATAGCGATCAAAACTCCCAACTGATAGAGAAAAGAAGAAAAGGGAGGCATTGTCAGTGATTATATAGGAGACCGAATAAGCAGTAAGCAGTAAGCAGTAGAGGAGGAGTGGATGGAGACTGACAAGGCTGAAAGCGACCTATGATAGATTGCCGGAGACATTTCTATGGCCTCTGTGGCTGAGCGTGCTATTCCCCTCTTGACCGACGACCAGGCCACTTGTCTTTCTCCGCCATGTGTCGCTGTGATAGGGCCTCCCATTACACCCAGTTCATATGAGCTGGTTTTAGATGGAGAATCCCTTCATCTTATCCAAGACTTTGCAATGGAGACAAAAGTATAATACTATTTTATTAGAAATATGTTATTTATACAACTCTTTTACTTCTTACATCCGTTAATAATTTTTATCTTTTGATCTTTTTTAATTTATCTAATTTGACGGTCAAAGATAAAAAAGAAAATGTGTGAAAGTAAAAAGGGTGCGGATGTCACATCCTTTTTTTTATACATGCATTTGTTGAAGAGAAAAAAAAAATGATTTGATCTCGGAGATTCCTAGTGTAAAAGATACAAGTTTCTTTTAGACCGAGATACATATCTAAAATCTTTCAATTTTTAAGTGAGGTATTTCGTTGATCACTTAGTGAGCATATACGTAGTAAGTTGTTGAACTATGCTTCATGCATGTCGACAACTTGTGATCAACGAGACCTGCTAAGCGTTGCTTACGCATGCTAAAGAATGCTACCGTGGTATGCTCATCGAGTATATCTTTGAACACTTGTAGGCACTTTGAGTTACATACCAGACATTCAGAAGGTTCCCGAATGAACTTCCCATACATTGATCCCAACTCACGCTGTGTCTCAGTTGTACCTTGGTTGCTATGGATCCATCCCTCGCTGGTGCATTACTACCTACCGAGCTAGTATTGCTTAATAAACAGTCTCTATTGTTGTTTTTAAGAATGAATATGATTAAGTATTCAAATCAACAAACGTTAGGATAAGAACTATTTTTACTCGTAAGTGTTATTGCTAGAAGTTCTTTTATTTGAAACACATCAAAATTTTTATTAAAAATCCAAATTCTAGCATTTTTATATGATTTTCCCAGAAGCGTTTAATTCTTGGGAGAGCACATGAGGGTGCTTCTTGAATAAGTATCAAGATGGTACTTTTCCACAAAGTGCTTTTACAATATATGTCATTAATTTTAAATTTTATTTTAAATGTAGACATGAGCGTTTTCAATAATAAAAAGACGCTCTAGAGCCCTCTAGAAACAATCCAAACAAAATCAAAGCTAGTTATCACGTAGTTCCATTCATGATGGCATGCCAACACAAAGTTATCCATTAATAATTAGGTTTGACACCGTCATTATTGAAAAGGTTATGGTGTATTTTAAAAGAGAATGTTCTTGGTAAAAAATTAAAAACGATAAAACGAAACATTCATCCAAATATATTACTTTAAATAGCTAGTGGAGCAGATTTGACTTCGACACACCTTTAATTTATAAGGACGTGTTTGTCACCACATGACAAACTCTTCAAAACAGACAAATATTAACCACATAACCTTTATCTGTAACGTATAGGACAAGTCTAAGAGATGCATAAATTCGGATCGGTCCATGAACCTCTATATCTTTTGGAAAATATTTCAAAATAAGCCAATTTTTTTAATTTTATGACAGAAATATGACATTTCGAATATACACATGGTATGCACACGATATGCATAATAATCAGACAAAAATAAAATTTTTCCTACACCTTGAAATGATCAAATTGTCCTCTCATATAAATAGATTATCCAGAAATTTTAGCATCTATTTCACATTTTGTAAAGAGAGAAACATAGTGAAGAGAGAGAAAGAAAATCTCTCTCGCCCAATTCCAATTTGAAGAACCCTAACCCACCCATCTTTTTCATCTAAGCTCTCTCTCTTTTTCTCTCTTTTTCTCTCTCTACATTTCGAATATGCACAAGAGCTCTCTCTAACCCACTCATCTTCTTCAATTTTTACATTTTCATCTGTAGGTTTTGTGAACTGGGTTTGCTTAATTTTGCTTTTTGATTGATGGATTTTTGAAGTTGAAGTAATTGGTTTGGTGTTTATTGAAGGAGACCCAAATCCTTCAATTTTGATTTTTGATTTTTATCATTTCTCTTATTTATATGTTGGTTTTCATTTTTTCTGTCTTCTCCCTCCCTCTACTCACTCTCTCTATCCAAATTTACAAGCACTAAAATAGGGTTTGGGTTTTGCTGCAATTAAATGAAAATACGTATTAAAGGTTGGTTGCCTTTTAGAGAAGAGATACATTTGAGGGAAAAACGAGAAATCATAGTGGAAAGAAGGAAGAGAGAAGGATATGGATAAAATTGTTTCACGTACTTGTTTGCTCTCTTCGTATTAAGCTCACTCAAATCTGGGTTCAAATATTTCAAGGATTTGAAAATTGCAGTTTCAATGGGCACGAAAGAACCTAAGGTATCGTTTGGTATGCAGACGGGACGGGACGGAACGGAATGGGACGGGACGGGACGGAATGGAACGGAGCGGGAGCAAAGATGTCCTCGGATGGAAACAAGGAGGAAGAAGAAGGAGACGGAGAGGTTATACTTTTGTGTTCCACGGATGTGGAACGAGTCGTTCCAGGGGGGTGAGGTGGAACGAAAATTCACCCAAAACTCGTCCCGTGGAACAGCTCGTTCCACCCATTTTAGGCGCACCAAACGTGGGACGGAATGCCTTGTCCCACTCTGTTCCGTCCTGTCCCACGTACCAAACGGTACCTAATTGAACCAAAGGAAATTGTTTCACGAACACGTTCGCTTTTTTTGTATTTGAGGGCTTGCCTTTGAATCAAAGGAAAAAGTAGTAAACTATGTTAATGCGAAGAGTATTAAAGATGTAAATACGCACCATATACATTATATGCACACCACATGCACATAATATGTATAGTACATGCACATGATATGCATAAAGCGGGAGAATATTTAACAGCAACATGTTGGTATAGTGGATACAATTAATACATAATTGTTACATATATAAGGATACAGTGACAATTTGAAAAGTCTTGTTAAGTATATCAACCACCACCTACCCCGTGCATGTGAAAAACATAATATTTGTTGTTGTTATTTCATGGACATGCATGCCGCTTAATGTTCTCTAAGTTTATTTTTTTATTTTTTTATTTTGTTTTTCGCTGAGGCCAACTATATTGTGGTCATACTCGCTAAATTCCAAAGCACAACATATGTGCATCATAATTAGTGAACACTTGAACCAGAAATTGTTCTATCCCATTTTTCTAGCGTGTCAAAACTTGAAATTTTCTCCACAACCCATACGCCCCAACATGAAACACAAACGTAATTTAACTTCTAAGTATTAATTCATCTTACAAACAAACCACTTATTCCATAAATTATTGATGAAGCAACTTAGAACTAAATGCCTTACCTTACTATGCCTGCCGAAGCTTTAGTCACCAGAAAAAATGGAACTTTCCGGCCAAAATAAAAAATATGGTACAAAACCCAGCTCACTCTTATCACATCTCTCTCGCATCCCCTTGTTCAAAATCAAAGGTATGAGATCAACCCAAAGCCCAACTCACTCTTCTTGCCTCTTTTTAGACTTCCTTCTCTTCAACATCGGAGCTCATAGATCTGAGCTCACCCCAAAAACCCAGAGCTCACAGAACTCTCTCAACAACCTTCTCTTCCAAATGAGAACAGTGATGCAATGGACTAATGATTTTTAGTATTTATATGTGGGTATTTTAGTAATTTCGGTTTTGTGCATTGTGTGCATGACTTGTGCATGGTCAGTTCCTATTTATGTTCCAAGATTGAGAAATTGTCCCATATTGGAGTATTTCCCATATCTTTTTGTTTTCAACTTTAAGTGATATATAAATGCATGGGTTTATAGTTAAGCTGTTACACGGTAAATAAAAACATGCATGGTTTGGTGATTAAGATTATACACAACCATGGTCTTCAAGTTGTTTTAGGTTCATTGATGAGAGATTAATCATTCTCTTTATGCACGCATGCATGGTTTTGTGATTAAGATTACACACAACCATGGTCTCCAAGTTGTTTTAGGTTCATTGACCACGGATTAATCATTCTCTTTATACCATCCTAGTATATTGCACCAAGTTGTAGTGTACTTTTGACCCTTAAGTCAAAAAATATGCTAAAGCAGGATTGATAACCGCAAAAAAATTATTTGTAAGAGCTCGAGCTCGAATTGGAGGTTTTAAACATTTCCTTGCTTTTCACTAGACAAATCCTTTGTGGTTGGTTATTAAGGTTAATTATATGTTAAATTAATTTTGGGGTACATGTTACAAGAAATGAAGGAGTCTGTCTATGCTATGACATTGAGTAGGATGATTCTATACAAAATTTAACCGTTGCAAAATTGACTTAGATTTTTTTTATACAAGATTTAGACTGTTAATTTTTGGAAACACTTGGTTAGTATGTACCGTAAAAGAGGTATGGAAAATGTCGAGGAGAGATTTGGTGTTTGGTGCTGGGTACAGTGGAGCGGGAAATGCGGTGAGAGAAGGGTGTACGGAGAAGGGAATCTGATGCGGACATGACGCGTCCGAAATCAGAGGAGAGACCCAATAATTGCTCCCACGCTGCCCGACATCATGATTCTGTCGGCACTGCCCTACCCACCCCAAACTCTCCATCAATCCCTCTCAATCCTCCCTCTCCCCTCCCCTCCACTTTGACGGGTAATGTACACTTATCATTCTTGTATAGTATATAACATATAATATTAATATATATATATATATTTATATTATTGGATTTTCTAGTATACCAACGAATTTTATGCCTGGATATTTTTGTCGTTAAATCTTAAGTTAAAAAAATAATTAGATCTCATAATTAAATTTTTTTAAAATATTTTATACTCTAAAGCACTACATAATATTCGCATTTTGTTGTATGGTCTTGTACAAGCCCTTTAAAGGAAGAGGTTTCTATGTTTTTTTAAATAGAGGTTAGTTATGAGACTCATTCTATATCAAATTTCAACGATCTGAACTGTTTATTTTATAAGTCTTTACTCATAGATAATCCTTGCAAAAAATTCAATTCAATCAAAAACCATTTGCCTATTTAATTGTCAAGATAAAATTTCACTAGTTTCTTAGAACATAGTGTTCGTCAATTTCTTTGAACTCAATTAGATGTCTGAAATATTTCTAGTTTGGCTAATATTTGGGAACAATGATCTATGAGGTACAACTTTAAAAACATGTAGTCTAGATTACTGAAATTCAATGTGGTGTGGCCTCACAACTAATTC